ACCACGTCTAGGGAGAGTAGCAACAGTGCTAAACTTTCTCCATTTGTAGACAGTCTGTCTTACCGTGGACACAGGAACATCAAGGCTTTTGGGGATACTTTTGTAACCCTTTCCAGCTTCATGCAAGTCAACAATTCTTGATCATATCGAGACTTCTCTGTCTCCTCCTTTACTATGCGATAGATCGCGGATCCACGGCAAAATGGCGCTGCCGTGCTCGCGCATGCGCAGTGCTTACTTTCTCCGGGAAAATGGCCGCGGCTCACTGCGCATGTGCCGATTTCCCTATTTCTGACACTGGCGTCGGTCACGCTCCTGTACAGTCTCCCCTCTGATGATGTGCCTTTAGCACGAAAGGCCTAAGGAGGAACTGTGCAGAGCGTGACGTCATTCCACCGCCGGAGCCACGAGGAGGCTCGGCGGTCACCATCACTGGGGTCAGTACTGCTGTATTTTAATTTATACATGATATACTACTTGCATACTGCCCTATTGTTCTAATAATAAAAACTCGTTTTTTTGGACATACTACACTATTTTGGGCATCTGTTTTTTGGGGCTCCTGCCTGGAGCTTTCACTCCCATAGAAAAAGCACTTTGCCATCCCGAGACGAGGTTTTTTCCTGAAGTACCTGGCTGACCTTAAGGGGACCCCCGGACCTATCTTAGGAGTCTGTGATGACCTACCGTGAGGGAGATGCCTGGCTTCTGATGTACCTATTGCTTGTGATGCATGATCACACATGCGCATAACCCATGCGTTTCCGGTGAGTGCGCATTTCTGTTATTCTGACAGAGTGGAGGCCGTGGGAATTCGTATATCTACAGTTTACCACTGTGGATATTGTACTATCACCTTATTGACTTTTCATCTTTTTAAGCGCTGCACTCTATTGTTTTGAAACTGATTGTTTGTATTTGAGGCATTATGGTTGCCTAAAGTGTTCTAGCTGCTGACATTTATGAGAGCGCTCACTATTTATCTTTTGTATATTTAATTCTTGATCATAGGTCTTCTGAGAGCTCTTTTCTGCGAGGCATGGTTCACATCAGACAGTGCTTCTTGAAACCAGTAAACCCAAAACAGGTGTGTGTTTTTTAAGGGCAGGACAGCTGTCAGCAACACATCCAATATCATCACACTGATTGGAGTCAAGGTTGGCTCACTCCTGGCTCCAATTAGCTCTGGGAGAAGTCATTAAGCTAGGGACTCACATACTTTTTCCTCCCTGCACTGTGAATGTTTACATGTTATGTGCAATTAAACCATGGCAACATCTAATGTTTGTGTAGTATTATGTTCAGCAGACTGTGTTCTTCAATTGTTGTGACTTAGATGACGTTCAGAGCACATTTTATGCCCAATTCATGCAAAACTCCACGTAATCCCAAGGGGTTCACATACTTTTTCTTGCAACTGTATATATATATACACACACACACACATATATACATACATATATATATACTGAAATATATTCAATACGGCCGAAATTGCAGTATTTCAAATATATTTGGGGAAGAATATTTTTCAAATATATTTAAAATATATTTTTCTTCCATGTGGGAAGCGTTGATTGCGATACACATGTTATATATCGCCGCACACGCCGGAGTGAGAGCGATAATTCTAGCACAAGACCTCCTCTGTAACAGTAAACTGATGACCTGGGCTTTTGAAGCATCGCCTATAGAAAATATAAGGTACTGAAGATTGTTGCCATTTCACAGGCGCACACAAATTTAATGTTCGACATGTTGGATATCTATTTACTCGGCACAACCTCGACTTTTACATTTTACCAAAAATCTAGGTAAAGTATTGCATTTGTTGGCCCTAAAATTCACTTTAGTGAGTTTTTTTTACTGAAATGTTCCGTTTCCTGTAGCTTTTCAGTAAATGAAGGAACTACAACTATTTTATTCTCTAGGGTTTCAGAAAATATATAACATTTGGGGGTTTTGTGTAATCTTCAGGCCTAATGATTTTTTTAAAACGTGTGTGCAAAATAAAAAAAAAAAAAAGGCAAAAACGTCTCTGGCAGCAAAAGGGTTAATATACCGACTTAAGCAACACGGCGAAAATTTCAGTCTCTAGTTCTCAGTGCCAATCAGCGCCGTCTGTATAAAAGTAATATCACTCCATATTTCCTTCTCCCTTTCATACCCAATTTAAATCCTCATTTTGAAAAAGGACTAAAATATATGAAATTGGAGCCTTCATTGTGTGCTCTGAATGCAGCCTGCCCCGCGCCTGTTCCCTGGATGATTGTATCGTAAGTAAATGAGCTCCTCTCCATTCTTATCTCCGTCGCTGATATTAATCTAATAAAGATGCACCGGGGTAGGTCAGCCTGAAATTAGCTTTAGCGCTGAGAGCTTTGGGTCATTTTCCGATAATTGATTTAATGCGACGCTCATTAAATCCTACCATGTGACGACCTGAAAGAGTTTACTCCATCATGTCACTTTGTAGATACCGGGTATGTTTGTAAGGATGCAAATGCTTTAAGAAAAAAAAAAAAAAACCTGAATGAGATTACATGGATCTGGACGCACCCTGAAGCGCTGTTTGCAGTTATGAATAGGCGTTTGCGGAACATTTCGAGAACCTTATCTTCTGGAAGCTTTATCTCGTGGCCATCTGCCCGTGTCTAACACTCAGCACTGGGCGCTCCAGCTTGGGACCAAATAAATACTTAATAGCTTCTTCCCTACCAGGACAATTCTGACACTTCTCACGTGTAAAAACATGGGTTTATTTTTTTTTTCTGCTAGAAAATGACTTAGAACCCCCAAACATAACAAGAGAAACATAGAAAAGTGATGGCAGAAAAAAAACCGAGTAGACCATCGGGTCCGGGGAGAGTGGATATAGTGAATGCAGGGTCCGGGGAGAGCGGATGTAGTGAATGCGGGGTCCAGGGAGAGCAGATATAGTGAATGCGGGGTCCGGGGAGAGCGGATATAGTGAATGCAGGGTTCGGGGAGAGCGGATATAGTGAATGCAGGGTCCGGGGAGACCGGATATAGTGAATGCAGGGTCCGGGGAGAGCGGATATAGTGAATGCAGGGTCCAGGGACCAGATATAGTGAATGCGGGGTCAGGGGAGACCGGGATATAGTGAATGCAGGGTCCGGGGAGAGCGGATATAGTGAATGCAGGGTCCGGGGAGAGCGGATATAGTGAATGCAGGGTCCGGGGAGACCGGATATAGTGAATGCAGGGTCCGGGGAGAGCGGATATAGTGAATGCAGGGTCCGGGGAGACCGGATATAGTGAATGCAGGGTCCGGGGAGAGCAGATATAGTGAATGCAGGCTCCGGGGAGATCAGATATAGTGAATGCGGGGTCCGGGGAGAGCGGATATAGTGAATGCGGGGTCCGGGGAGACCGGATATAGTGAATGCGGGGTCCGGGGAGAGCAGATATAGTGAATGCAGGCTCCGGGGAGATCAGATATAGTGAATGCGGGGTCCGGGGAGAGCGGATATAGTGAATGCGGGGTCCGGGGAGAGCGGATATAGTGAATGCGGGGTCCGGGGAGGCCGGATATAGTGAATGCAGGGTCCTGGGAGACCAGATATAGTGAATGCAGGGTGCGGGGAGAGCGGATATAGTGAATGCAGGGTCCTGGGAGACCAGATATAGTGAATGCAGGGTCCGGGGAGAGCAGATATAGTGAATGCAGGGTCTGGGGGAGAGCGGATATAGTAAATGCGGGGTCCGGGGAGAGTGGATATAATGAATGCAGGGTCCGGGGAGAGCGGATATAGTGAATGCAGGATCCGGGGAGAGCAGACATAGTGAATGCAGGGTCCGGGGAGAGCAGACATAGTGAATGCAGGGTCCGGGGAGACCGGATATAGTGAATGCAGGGTCCGGGAGACCGGATATAGTGAATGCGGGGTCCGGGGAGACCAGATATAGTGAATGCGGGGTCCTGGGAGACCAGATATAGTGAATGCAGGGTCCGGGGAGAACGGATATAGTGAATGCAGGGTCCAGGGAGAGCGGATATAGTGAATGCGGGGTCCAGGGAGAGCGGATATAGTGAATGCGGAGTCCGGGGAGACCGGATATAGTGAATGCAGGGTCCGGGGAGAGCGGATATAGTGAATGCGGGGTCCGGGGAGACCAGATATAGTGAATGCAGGGTCCGGGGAGAATGGATATAGTGAATGCAGGGTCCAGGGAGAGCGGATATAGTGAATGCTGGGTCCGGGAGACCGGATATAGTGAATGCGGGGTCCTGGGAGACCAGATATAGTGAATGCAGGGTCCGGGGAGAGCGGATATAGTAAATGCAGGGTCCGGGGAGAGCGGATATAGTGAATGCAGGGTCCAGGGAGAGCGGATATAGTGAATGCGGGGTCCGGGGAGACCGGATATAGTGAATGCGGGGTCCGGGGAGAGCGGATATAGTGAATGCGGGGTCCGGGGAGAGACCGGATATAGTGAATGCAGGGTCCGGGGAGACCGGATATAGTGAATGAGGGGTCCGGGGAGAGTGGATATAGTGAATGCGGGGTCCGGGGAGAGCGGATATAGTGAATGCAGGGTCCGGGGAGAGCGGATATAGTGAATGCAGGGTCCAGGGAGAGCGGATATAGTGAATGCAGGGTCCAGGGAGACCGGATATAGTGAATGCAGGGTCCAGGGAGAGCGGATATAGTGAATGCAGGGTCCTGGGAGACCAGATATAGTGAATGCAGGGTGCGGGGAGAGCGGATATAGTGAATGCAGGGTCCTGGGAGACCAGATATAGTGAATGCAGGGTCCGGGGAGAGCAGATATAGTGAATGCAGGGTCTGGGGAGAGCGGATATAGTAAATGCGGTGTCCGGGGAGAGTGGATATAGTGAATGCAGGGTCCGGGGAGAGCGGATATAGTGAATGCAGGATCCGGGGAGAGCAGACATAGTGAATGCAGGGTCCGGGGAGAGCAGACATAGTGAATGCAGGGTCCGGGGAGACCGGATATAGTGAATGCAGGGTCCGGGAGACCGGATATAGTGAATGCGGGGTCCGGGGAGACCAGATATAGTGAATGCGGGGTCCTGGGAGACCAGATATAGTGAATGCAGGGTCCGGGGAGAACGGATATAGTGAATGCAGGGTCCAGGGAGAGCGGATATAGTGAATGCGGGGTCCAGGGAGAGCGGATATAGTGAATGCGGAGTCCGGGGAGACAGGATATAGTGAATGCAGGGTCCGGGGAGAGCGGATATAGTGAATGCGGGGTCCGGGGAGACCAGATATAGTGAATGCAGGGTCCGGGGAGAATGGATATAGTGAATGCAGGGTCCAGGGAGAGCGGATATAGTGAATGCTGGGTCCGGGAGACCGGATATAGTGAATGCGGGGTCCTGGGAGACCAGATATAGTGAATGCAGGGTCCGGGGAGAGCGGATATAGTGAATGCAGGGTCCGGGGAGAGCGGATATAGTGAATGCAGGGTCCAGGGAGAGCGGATATAGTGAATGCGGGGTCCGGGGAGACAGGATATAGTGAATGCGGGGTCCGGGGAGAGCGGATATAGTGAATGCGGGGTCCGGGGAGACCGGATATAGTGAATGCAGGGTCCGGGGAGACCGGATATATAGTGAATGAGGGGTCCGGGGAGAGTGGATATAGTGAATGCGGGGTCCGGGGAGAGCGGATATAGTGAATGCGGAGTCGGGGGAGAGCGGATATAGTGAATGCAGGGTCCGGGGAGAGCGGATATAGTGAATGCGGGGTCCGGGGAGACCAGATATAGTGAATGCAGGGTCCGGGGAGAACGGATATAGTGAATGCTGGGTCCGGGAGACCGGATATAGTGAATGCGGGGTCCTTGGAGACCAGATATAGTGAATGCAGGGTCCAGGGGAGAGCGGATATAGTGAATGCAGGGTCCGGGGAGAGCGGATATAGTGAATGCAGGGTCCAGGGAGAGCGGATATAGTGAATGCGGGGTCCGGGGAGACCGGATATAGTGAATGCAGGGTCCGGGGAGAGCGGATATAGTGAATGCGGGGTCCGGGGAGACCGGATATAGTGAATGCAGGGTCCGGGAAGACCAGATATAGTGAATGCGGGGTCCGGGGAGAGTGGATATAGTGAATGCGGGGTCCAGGGAGAGCGGATATAGTGAATGCGGGGTCCGGGGAGAGCGGATATACTGAATGCAGGGTCCGGGGAGAGCGGATATAGTGAATGCAGGGTCCGAGGAGAGCGGATATAGTGAATGCAGGATCCGGGGAGAACGGATATAGTGAATGCAGGGTCCAGGGGAGAGCAGATATAGTGAATGCGGGGCCCGGGGAGACCGGATTTAGTGAATGCGGGGTCGGGGAGAGCGGATATAGTGAATGCAGGGTCCGGGAAGACCGGATATAGTGAATGCAGGGTCCGGGGAGACCGGATATATTGAATGCAGGGTCCGGGGAGAGCGGATATATTGAATGCAGGGTCCGGGGAGAATGGATATAGTGAATGCAGGGTCCGGGGAGACCGGATATAGTGAGTGCAGGGTCCGGGGAGAACGGATATAGTGAATGCAGGGTCCGGGAAGACCGGATATAGTGAATGGAGGGTCTGGGAAGACCGGATATAGTGAATGCAGGGTGCGGGGAGAGCGGATATAGTGAATGCAGGGTCCGGGGGGAGGGCGGATATAGTGAATGCAGGGTCCGGGGAGAGAGCGGATATAGTGAATGCAGGGTCCGGGGAGAGCGGATATAGTGAATGCAGGGTCCGGGGAGAGCGGATATAGTGAATGCGGGGTCCGGGGAGAGCGGATATAGTGAATGCAGGGTCCGGGGAGAGCAGATATAGTGAATGCAGGATCCGGGGAGACCGGATATAGTGAATGCAGGGTCCGGGGAGAGCGAATATAGTGAATGCGGGGTCCAAGGAGAGCAGATATAGTGAATGCAGGGTCCAGGGAGAGCGGATATAGTGAATGCAGGGTCCGGGGAGAGCGGATATAGTGAATGCAGGGTCCGGGGAGAGAGCGGATATAGTGAATGCGGGGTCCGGGGAGAGCGGATATAGTGAATGCAGGGTCCAGGGAGAGCGGATATAGTGAATGCAGGGTCTGGGGTTAAGTAACACTCTAAGTTTTTTGCTGTCACTATAAGAGGATTTATATAATTGTCTGTTAAATATTGTCATTCATTTAATATTGGCCTTCACTGGGATATGCGATTCAATATATATTTCTGAAGTGTTTTCACCTCTGGTGGGCGGTTACGTTTTTGTTTTTGTTTTGTTTTATGCACCTCACTGTTTGTTCACATAATATATTGTATGGTATATTCTTTTGTTCTTTATGTTATTTGGTAAATTTCCTTATTAGGGGTCCTTAACTTTACACTTCTATAATATAATGTTTGTTAATCTATGGTTACACGTTGATTGATCATCAATTTTAGACTCATCATCCTCATTGGAAGCTCTTACCTCTGGAGGTGTTTGTTTGGTATTGTGTGTTAGCACCTCTGGAGGACATTCAGCCCTGGTTCACACCCCTGCAGCTTGAGGTGCGACATCCGATTTTCAAATCCCACCTGAAGTCCCATCTAATGTATTTCTGAGGCACAAGTAGCGCGATTTTTAAAATAGTTCCGGCATTTTCACCACTTCATTATGTCTGTCATGAATGATGCTGCTAGACAAATAGACCGTACTAACCGATCAGCGACTGCTGCCCCTCTCTGCCAATCCCTTCACTGGCTTCCACTAACCCAATTTATAAAATTCAAAATACTAACCACAGCTTACAAAGCCATCCACAACACTGCCCCTAGCTACATCGCCAACCTCATCTGCAATTATTCCTACCAAGACCTCCTCCTCTCCAGTGCCCTTGTTGCCTCCTCCCACGCTTGCCTCCAGGACTTCTCCAGAGCCTCTCCCATCCTCTGGAACTCCCTACCCTAGTGTGTCTAGGCAGCTCCTACCCTGTACATCTTTAGATGATCCTTGAAAACTAATTTATTCAGAGAAGCCTACCCCACCTCCACCGAAGAACTGTACTTGAGTCACCTCCATCAGATCATCCCCCCCAGCAGCTATTACCTTTTGTACCATCTCCCCTTCCTTTTAGATTGTAAGCTCCATGAGCAAGACCCTTCACTTCCCTCTGTATTGAACTTTATTGTAATTGTACTGTCTCCCTTTATATTTTAAAGGGCTCGCGTTATATAAATCCTTTGTAATAATAAAAAAAAAAAATAATAATTTCAGTGCGATTTAACTCTCCTAGACTATAAGGTAAATGGCACTGAAATCTCATCTTTGTCTATATCAGCGCTACTTTGAAGCTGAACTTTAAATGGGACCAAAAATAAAAATGTCACCAGCACACCGAGGAATCCTCAAAAGGGTCAGAAACTTTATTTACTGGTCACATACTATCAACAGCGGCAACGTTTCAGATCCACGCAGGGCCCCTTCGTCAGGCAAGTGGGACTAAAGCGCACCACTTTAAAGTCGCATTCAGTGTGAACCATCTGTCACTATCTTTTTTTTAAATTTTTTTTTTATAGTATATTAATCGGCAGCCCAGAATCAATTTTTCTTTTTTTTTGTCAGACAAGAGAATAGTCAGGTCCAGGCAGAGGTCATGGACAGGCGGCAGCTAAGAGAGTACTCAGGTCCAGCCAATTGGTGAGTCAGGCAGGAGGCAAGAGAATTGTCAGGTCCAGGTAGAGGTCATGGACAGGCGACAGGTAAGAGAGTACTCAGGTCCAGCCAATGGTTGAGTCAGGCAGGAGGCAAGAGAATAGTCAGGTCCAGGCAGAGGTCATGGACAGGCGATAGGTAAGAGAGTACTCAGGTCCAGCCAATGGCTGAGTCAGGCAGGAGGCAAGACAATAGTCAGGTCCAGGTAGAGGTCATGGACAGGCGGCAGGTAGGAGAGTACTCAGGTCCAGCCAATGGGTGAGTCAGGCAGGAGGCAAGAGAATAGTCAGGTCCAGGCAGAGGTCATGGACAGGCAACAGGTAAGAGACTACTCAGGTCCAGCC